GTACTTGGCACTTGTATGCTGCTAATACTTAGGTTCAAAGTATGCATATTATGTGGGTGAAAATTTTCTTTTACATATAAATGATTATCTAAAAGTAAACCATTAATTATTGTTGTTTAAAGTCATGATGACGTAAGGACGTATCTTATGTTAACCACTTGTCAATTAATAACTTTTCATGCATATTCTTTTTTTCCTTTAATACTTAACTTTTGTCTTCACCTTTTCATTGGCTCCTCTAATTTTTTTTTCCCTTTCATACTTAATTATTTTCTTCACCTTTCAAGGAAAATACCTTCAACTATTTTTGGCTTATCTCCACTTGAGTACATGTCCTTATCATACAACTCTTTGATAGGTATATCTTTGATTATATCGGATAAATTCATACTTTATTCTAATCATTGCAAACAATTTTATAGGTGTTAGTGTGCCTTCATATAAGTTATTTACAATATGTTATTCAACGTTGATTTTGTTGGAAAATGATTGTGTCCCTTGTAACTTGTCCAACGTGGCACTTCCAGTAATTAAAAATATTACAAATTGATTAGCATATAGATTGATAAAATAAGTATATGGACCAAGTTGCATTGAATTCAAGTATAGAGATTGAGTTACAAACTCTATGAACCTACAGGGACAAAATAATTAATTTCCCCTTATTTATATATGTAAGATTTTATTCCAATTGTCTTGTGAGTTTTGATATATATTGTTAGAAATTTTCATATTACTTATGATTCATTTTTAGAGCAAAATATATTCATTAACCTTTAATTTCATTAATATTCCTGAAACTACCCCATAATTTTCAAAATATAGACTTTAATTTAATTTTTAGTTCTGATGAAAATGAAGATTCTAAAATACTTTCTTTTATTAATTAAAAGGTGCATCATAGCAATTTCAAACTTACTAATATAATGCTTTCACTATAAATGATTCGATTAACTGATGTTGTTCAGAACATGACTCAAGAAGGTTTTTACATGTTTGGAAAAACTTTGTTTTTTGGGAAAAAAAATATAAGAATACTAGTGCAGTGCAGCTGTATCAATAAAATTTCTCTCAGTTTTTAGTATTGCTTCAGGCATAATTATGATTTCAGTGACTTGAAAGGTATATATGAGCATATATTTATTTATTATGACATTAAAATATTATATTTTGATTCAATCAAATCCACAAACTTAAATTGAGGGGAAATTTGCAATGGTAATATAAAATATGGATAAAGTGCATAGGGAATTGGAATAATATAGTAAAACAGAAAGTGACCATGTGCAACAACCTGAATCAATTCATTCCCACCCAAAACATCTCTCACTTTTCATATAGGATGCCAATTGCGTGAATTGCATGCATCTGCATGCTTTACAATGCATCACCACTCTTAACGATTTGTTTTTTACATTGTCATGTACATCACAAGAGATATTGAGGAAACAATTTACAATCTTACAAGTATGGAAATAATGGTCTTAGATGTTAATATCTTCTAGCTTTTTAAATAAATTTATCAGCACCTTTATTAGAAATTTTTGTTTTCCCTTTTTGTCCTTTTACACTTGGGTCTTTTAATCATATCCCCAGCAATAATTCTAAGGAAATGGGTGATCTTCTAAATTAAAAAAAAAAAGAACCCATTCACATCGGTGCCCATGGTTTTCTTTGCCTTGCTTTCTACCTTTTGGAGTTTTGGTGCTCTTGAGAGCAATATGGAAACCATTATTTACATTTAATCTTTACTATCTTTGATCATTATACTTTAGATCCCTCAGCTACGCATTTAGATTTGTGGTTCAGATGCAAAATAATTGTGTTGTGCAATTTGCAACACTTTGGTGTCCATCAAATAGAGAAGTGTTACTCTGTTTACCTCTATGTTTTGGGCTAGAAAATAGAGGTAAGCATATAATCCTATTCTTCCAATTTTATCAGATGTCCCCAAAGGGACTAATACTTCTTAATTCCGTGAAGATTTGCCCCTCTGACTCCTTTCATACTCTTTTCTTTTGAGTCTCTCAATGGTTTTTTAATTTTCTTCTTTAATTCTCTTCATAGAGAGATTAGAGGTATTGAACAAATAGATTATGGGTTGTTTTGCCTTTGTTCTTGTGAGGAACTGCCTTGTCGTTTTCCACATCACCACTTTCTTAATACAGCTAGGACTTCTCTTTCCCTCATTATTTAGAATGCTACATTCTGGGCCAAAATCAAAGAACAAGAATTCTGTGTTGATGTTGAACATATAATTTTTTATACAGTTTGTCTGAAGTGAAATTTTTTTGTTGATTTAGAGAGTATTTTTCTTTGCTACAAACATTATTATAATTTTAACTTGGACTCATCAAAATGACTCTAAGCCTATGCCCTACAAACAAGTTAATTCTTCAACTTGTTTATTAAATTTATGATTCCGGTTCATTTTATGGTAGATACAAATTTAAACAGGTGAATTTGTTGAAAGTTATGTTTTACATAAATATTATATAGACCCCTATTAGAATTTCATATTGGAGGGATAATATCCAAAACGTGTTTATATATATATATATATATATGTGCGTGTATTAATGTTGAAGTCTGTAAGTGTCACCATCTTGAGAAATTCCATTCATCTAAAATAGAATATGTGATTTCACCAACAAAAAAAAATTAATACATCAATTTCAATGCTGATTCTGGTTGACAATGGAAGGATTTCTGTATGCCAAAGCCAATAATCGAAATTTAGATATACGAGTGACATATATATTTTGACTATGAAATAAGTCTCTAACTGCCATTGCGCTGGTAAAATTCTTTCACTGTTTTGATAATTTTTTTTTTTCAGTTTAATATATATAGCCTCTAACTTCCATTTGCCAACACTGCTGCACGGACCAAAAACTGTCATGTTATAATTTTATTTGAAACTTGGGTCCAAGAGCGTCCGTTTTAACATTTTCTCTTTTTATTTTTTAACTTTCTTCTATATAAACTTATTGTAGTTAAAATACTAAATTCATTATTAGAAAAGGCCACCATTTGGGGAAAACTTATTAATAAGAGAGCCAAAAGGGTCTCAATTTAGCTTTATACTTTCTGTACAGTATCCTAATTCTAAAATTAAAGAAGAATAAGTTATTAATAATTTATGTTGGAATATTAGAATATTGAGTGACTAAAGTTGATCACTTAGTTTTTGATGACCCTAAAATACTTAAATCTAGACCAGATTATGGTGTTCATCATGTGCTCCCATGAATATTAGATGAGGGGTGGGAGAATGGGAACAGTGGAGGGAGGCAGTGGGAGTAGAGAAAGTGATGGAATGAAGGAGAGGTCTGCGTCGTTGGCGCTGCATCTCTGATCCTCACTATTTTGCCCGTCCACTTCCCTCCTATTTACCCTTTCCATCCCTCTCTCATTACTCCTATTTCATGTCACCACCACCATCATCTATATATAGAGAGAGAGAGACATGTCCACAAGTGGATAATAGACGAGTTGACATGGACGGCACTTATATTACATGTTCTGCCTCTCCTACCCTCCTCCTCCAAAAGTCATCCAATTTCATCAGCCAACAAGAAGAATAATAAAGAGGTTCTAAAAGGACCAATTAATTCAAGTTAGATTTCAATTGTCAAATTTCTTTAGTTCACATTTCATTCTAAATACATTTATTGAAGAGGTTTGGCACAAATGCAGTGTTACAACCACACTTTTTTTTTCTTTTTGCAAATTTTAATGGACATCATCACAATAAGTTTTCTAACAACTGATCTACTAGTTATTATGTTATGAATTCATGATTTTAGTTATTGTTAAATTTAATGATGTTGGTGGTTTGGATGTATTCTCTTTTGGAGCATCTAAGTTCACTTTTCTTCAAAGTATGATGTTCTAGCTAGAAACTTCTTTTTTTAGATTATTTTCTTAGAATTACTATGAACAAGATGCATTTTATGTTTCTTTTTCACCTTTAGTTTTATTAAAGGTTGTGTATTCGTGAATTTCTTATTTCAGTAATTCTGTATGCATAAAAATAAGTCTTCAGTTATTTTCTATTGTGGTGATATGCTAGTTAGGGCAAGCCTCTTCTCGTTTGGGGAGCCAATTTTCTGGAAGACTTTTTTCTGAAAAAATAGAATTTATTTGTTGATTTATAGAATCTTTTTCTTTGATACAAACATCCAAATAATTTTAACTTGGGCTCCTTAAAATGAGTCCAAACCAATGCCCTACAAGTTAATTCTTCAACTTTTTTACCAAATATATGATTATGATTTGTTATATGGTAGATAAAAATTTATATAGGTGAATTTGTTGAAATTTATGCTTTACATAATTATTATATAGACCCTGATTAGAATTTCATATTGGAGATAATATCCGAAATGTGTTTATAACAAATTTGCAACTTCATATTTGCGGCCCATGAGATTTATAACCTTTACTCTCTTTATTTTGCAACTTCAGCCTTTTTTAGCTAAAATATTAAATTCATTATGATCAGCAAATGCCAGTATTGGGGGCAAACTCATTAATGAGAGAGCCAAAGGTTGCAAATTGGCTATTATATATTATACTTCCTGTACACTATCCTAATTCTGAAATTGAGGAACCATAAGTTATCCATAGTTTCAAAAGTTATCTTATCAGTTTCCTTCCCTCTTGCTTCCAAATTCAAGAGTTATATTTTGATGGATTACACTAGATTTGATGGATCTTTTATATATATATATATATATATAAAACATTGTAGGAGGTATTCCAGAACAGATTGGTAATCTTAGAAGTCTGAAAAATCTACATTTAGACACCAATCAATTTTCTGGCCATATACCATCAACTATCTTTAATTTATCTGAGCTGCAAGAGATTGATTTAAGTTGGAATAATTTGTCGGGAGGCATTCCCTCAAATATATGTCACGGCCTTCCAAATTTACAAGCTTTGAATCTTCAAGACAACAAATTATTTGGAGCTATACCTTCTAGTTGGACACAATGCAAGCAGCTCAAAGAGTTAGACTCATCAACCAACTTCTTCACAGGTATGTACTACCCACTATGCCAAATCTCTAAATTCAATCTTACCAAATATATTTTGATTGCACTTTTATGCATTGTGCGTACATTGGTGTTGATCAAAACCATTCAAAAAATTGGACTTCCTTAATTTCCATTTAAACAAAAATTCTTCTTGAAAAATTAATTTATAGCTATGTAATAAAACAACTCCTCAAGAGCCCATATCAAACATATTTTGGAAAGAATTATAAAGTAAAATAAAAATTGGGTATTATTTTTATTAAATATGAAATCAATTTATATAATTTTTAAATTCTTATTTTCCTTTCAAAAAGCTTTCATCAGGATTTGCAACCAAACGGCCGTTTCCATATCCCTCCCTTATATATGTATATAAGAAAGTAAGACCAAATTGGATCAACTTCAACATATCAACGTTGTTCATCAAAGTTTGGTATTTATATTCACTAATGTTTCTAAAATTGAAATCAAACACAGATCTACAAAAATAAAGCTTAAACGTTCAGATCCCAAAACTATAGTTTATTGGTTGACTGTAGTTCTCGTAATGGGAGGGAACATGTTGGCGATTTGGTCATCAATCAGAGATTGAAGGTATCTCGTCTTTTGCCTCTTCTTTTCTTGCATTTGATTGTCGATGGAGCCAAGGCCGCCTTCGCCAATTTAGTTTTGTGGGGCAGGTGATGACAATAGGAAGAAGTCATTATGATGTCATAAGTTGTCGTGGAGTGAGCTCCTTGCTATGATCTCTCTCACTTCCACCTCACGCATTCAACACCTCATTATTTCTCTTCTTCAATCTAGAAGTCTCATGCCCTGTCACCCCAAAACAACATTTTAGTTTTGCAATCTACAAGGTCTTATTGTCACACAGTATTATTATTATTATTATTATTATTATTATTATTATTATTATTATTATTATATGGTTACCTAACTCAATTAGACTCAAGTTTTGTTGGGTCCAATTAGAGGTACCTCTCAACGTAAACCAAGATATGAATCTAAATTGATTGCATAGCTAAATAATAATAATATATGTTCTTAATTTTTTTGATACCATTTCAAGTCATAGCATACTACTAAGCTGTAATAAATATAATAAAATCTCAACACAAAGCAGAGAGAAAGGTTTGCATAAACAAGATGGAAATAACTAGGTCAGTTTTAGGTTTTTGATATGTTTCCTATAAAAAAGCAAAGAAATAACGAGGTCACATACCCTCCATCACACTTTAATTTGGACCCCAGTATTAGCTTGATATAGAAAGTTTTTCATTGTACCTGTAACATTCCCACTATAATGTGAAAAAATCAATATCAATAATCTTATCAAAAGTCAACTTTAGTAAAACAATTAGTAAAAAAAATTTGGAACAATCTAAAACAGTTGAGCCCTTTAAAATCATTCAGAATTAGTAAAACAATTCTCATTTATAATTTCTTTTCATTTAATTATTTTATGCATTAAATTAAAATTATATGAATGCATTACAATTAACTCAACTACAATTAGATTATACCTAAATTAAACAATTTTCGATGCCCCCCTAAAGAAAAAATACTAATGAATTTCGCATAAGTATAATATTAATTCAATTATTGATTTAGCTTTGAAAAATTGAAAACTCAGACTACATAAGTAAAATGTCCACTCTTAAGCGTAATTGCAAGACAATGTGAAATCATTAGTGGAATATGTGTGTGTGTGTGTGTGTGTGAAATGGAAGGTGAGGCAAATTAATTAAGATGGATGGTTCATGAGTCATATATATATACTATAAGCTCATTGAGGATTATTTATTTAAATTATTATTTTTTGGTTCTAGAGCCATTCCTTTAATTAAAAACTGTACATTGGAAACTTATGATTATTTTTAACAAGTTAACAATGTAAGAATGTTTTCTTAAAATATGTGAAAATGTTGGAAATACCGTATGCCCAACTAATGTGTGATTTCTCAATACAAATAAGACAATTGGTGTTTTACTAAAGTGTCCCTTATGTCTTCAAGTATCGATATGTTCTTTCAGGTCATTTACCAAGAAGTATTGGAAACTTGACTGAGCTTCAATTGTTACGTGTTAATACCAACAACTTGGAAGGTATGTATCCAACAAATCATAGTGTTATTATGTGTAATAACCCATAAAAAAAAATATATTATTGTGTTTAAAATTGTAGTTATATTAATTTTGGGACAATTATGACAAGAGGGAGTGTTGGTTCAGTGGAAATGTGCATATAGCTTCTTTCATTGGTCTGGAGTTCGAATCTGATGAGGCCAAAAGAGTTTTATTTTTTCTGCATTTTGCTTCATGAATTTACCAAATTACCCTCCTTTCAAAATATTTTTTCTGGAAATCTGCTACTGGCCGTGCTGTGTAGGAAAAAAAAAAGAAAAGAAAAAAAGAATGGAGATTATGCTATATATATATATATATATATTTGGGTTTATTTGAAATGAGTAGCTTTCATCTTTTGTTCTTTCCCTTGACCAACCTATGAGTGTGAGGTATGATGTAACCTTGTGGAAATTGCAAGTTTTTCTTTTAAGCCTTGCTGCTGTCCGCGACTGTTGAGGGAAGGGAAGAATGGAATTAAACTACAATTTATGTATTAAAAGTATGATTATGATGAACATGGTCAGAGTTTTTGAGTCAAATAAATTTTGTTTGAATTGAATGATGTAACAAAAAAAAACTTGGACATGAAATTTGGAGGTTAGTGCCTAGAAGACTTTTGTTAAAATTCTTGTGAGAGAGAGTTGTTTGATTGTGCATTTACAAAAATCTCATTAAATTCCTTGGAAGACATAATCGGTTACGATGCTATGATCTTGTGAATTTAACTTGGAAATGGTAAAAGGAGATATTTGAGTGGGTATTTTTCTATAATTCTCTTGGATCTCGCAAGAAACATGAATTGGCTTGGGTATTGCTCATTTGTGAAATTGAATCAAATATTGCGAAGAAATTTATTTATGTTATTGAGAGATTAAGTGAATTCTTGAAAGTTTTATGGTTATTAATTTATAAAGTATAGTGTTGCCTTATGATTTAATTTTGGAATCGAATTAGAACTAGAAAGAAATTTTTATAATTATAGGAATTCAATTAAATTGCATTATCTTATATTCTTATAGGGGGTTTGGAAGAAGAAGATTTTGATAAGAACTAAAAAGGGAGAAAATCTTTGAAAATTTGGGAACACCATAGGTAAGTAGATAACGTCCCAATCAATATATATTGGAAATTTTTTCTTTATCAAAAGATCATTTTTCATAATTTATGGATATTTATAAATTTCTCTTGTTTTAGCTACTTTTGTTAATTAAATTGCTCTGCTTCTTGAAGTCATGATTTATATTTTTTATATTGATGAAAATGCTTTCTTAAATTCTAGTAGTGCTTTATTTGATAAAGCCAATTATAAAAATTTGTGAACAGTTTATGAGATATTAATTGTGAATTTTTATATTTAGAAATATTGGTTCTTTTATATGTTTCATGCGAGTTAGATTTTAAAAAGAGAAAAGGTATTTTGAAAGTGATAATTTTCTCGCATGTCTGAAAGTGAATTTAAAAAGGAGACTGTATACAGAACACTGATTGCTAACGGCAGTTTCGTTAGCCCTTGGCGCGCCATGGTCAATTACTAGCTAGTTTGGATTTCGTGAGCTTTGTTCTCACGTCTGTTATTCGTGGTTTTTATACCTGCATCTGTTTCGTGGCTTTGACCACGTTTGGTTAGTTACCCTCGTGGACTATGTGTCCACGTCTGTTTCGTGGCTTCGGCTGCGTCTAGTTACATAACCTTGTGAATTGTGTGTCCACGTTTGTTTTCGTGACATAAGCCACGTTTGGTAATTTATCCTCGTGGACTATGTGTTCACGTTTGTTACTTGTTCTAATAAGTCCCTATACTTATAGTTTTTAAATTTTTATGGATCTATTTTCATTGGTTTTGATTAATGACATGTTTACAATTATTTATTGGAATTATTTGCTTTATTAAAGTTAAATGATAATGACATTTGGTACAATACTTTAATGAATTATGATTTTATTCAAAGTTACATAGAATCTTTTTATTCTGAATTTAATTAAGTCTTCTTGTAGATCATTGTGTTTTTTTTATTTTTATGTTTGATTATTTATTATTGGGACGTTATTCACTGGAAAATAATTTTTGGTCTCAGATAGTGTAGCTGACGTTGAATCACCCACTGAACATTGAGAAGTTTTTGATTGATTAGAAGCAGAGGAGCTAAGGATTTAACTTTCTCTTGACGTAAAGTTTTAATTATGAAATTTTATTTTGTAAACTTATTGTTAGGTGCTCCACATAGTCTGTGGTCAGTTTTTTTTATGTGGTTATATATTTTATCTGTCAGCTGGAAGGAGCTCTACTCCTGATTGGCTTGATATTTTTGGTTGAAATATTGTCTTGTAGAATTTTTGGGAGATCTTATTTACGGAGGAGATTCTGTCGAAATTTCTACAAAAATATTGAGACTTTTATTACTACCAAAAATGTTTACGTATGTTCTAATTCAAACTAAAACATAATTATCTATTAGTTATGAAAAGATTACCCAATTCGAGGCTTAAGGGATGTGTGATGGATCACATCCTTTGCCGGTCATCCTCTATTTTTGGGGTGTGACATTATGTTTATTTTATCTGTTGCTAAATTACAAGAAATATTTGTAATAAAATTGGTGATCTAACAAATCTAAACATTGTAGATGTGTTTTGATAGTTTGATAAATTATGTATAATTGCTACAACGAGTTTCTTTTTTTTTTTTGGCAAAATCAGAAATAGCAATAATTCCAATTTTTACAATAATTTTTTGTTTATTACCAGATTGCAAAGATATTTCATAAGAGATTGCAATATCTGAAATTGAAAATTTAAACTTAAATTATAATAATTTAACCATTAAGAGGTGCAGTGGATGTACGTTTAAGACATCAAAAACTTGAGTATGATTCAGTTATTACATTTATATTACAATGCTCAACTTTTTTTAATGATATGAACAAATAAAAATTCTTTATCTTTAATTTTTTGCTACCGGAATTCTTTTTTAATAAATTGAACTATATTTATAAAAAAATTAAAAGATATATGCAAAGACAAAAGATAAATGTCTATCTCGTTAGTGTGTGTGTGAACAAAAAGGTAAAACCTAGCTATATAGAGCTTAACTGACCTCACATAAAAGGTGTATCAACAATGATACATCTCATTAATTAGATATTTGTCTTATTCATTATTTTAAGTATTCATTCTAGATAACTTCACTAAAATTAATTTTTTTAATACAGGTTTGATACCTGTGGAAGTAGGCAATCTCCATAAGCTTGAGATCTTGGATTTGTCATATAACAATTTGAGTGGATCTATACCATTGAGAATTTTTAACATTTCAACTTTGAAAATCTTAGATCTTGAAAGCAACTCTATATCAGGTAGTCTTCCAACAAATTGTGGGAATCTCACTAGTTTCTTTAAACTGTCTTTGGGAGAAAACATTTTGACTGGCTCAATTCCAAAAGCAATTGGTGACTTACAGTACCTTCAATATCTGAATCTTGAAGGCAATGAGATACATGGCCTAATCATTGATGAGATATGTGAAATCACAAAGCTTGGCTATTTATCATTAAGGAGAAACAACTTCTCGGGAGGAATGCCACATTGTTTACAAATGTTACCTCTTTACGAGAAGTTTACTTGGACTCCAATAAGTTAATTTTAGAAATACCCTCTTCCTTTTGGAATTTGAAAGATATATTGATTGTAAACTTATCTTTCAATCATTTTGTTGGGGGTCTTTCATCAAGGGTTGAGAATCTAAAAGCTCTAATCTTCTTAGATTTATCTCAAAATCATATTTCAGGCATCATCCCAGAAAGTATGGGTGGCTTGCAAAATTTGCAAATTCTCTCTTTAGCACATAATGAATTGCAAGGATCTATTCCTAGATCATTTGAGAATTTGTTAAGCTTAAAAAATTTAGACCTTTCCCAAAATAATTTGTCTGGGGGGATTCCCAAATCTTTGGAATTGCTTATTGATCTTCAGTATGTCAATCTCTCTTATAACAAACTCCAAGGAGAGATTCCAAGTGGAGGTGTTTTTAAGAATTTGACTCTTGAATCTTTTATGATGAATCAAGCTCTTTGTGGCCAACCACAACTCCAAGTGCCTCCATGCAAAAAAGAATCAAGAAAAAGATCAATGACAAAATTGCTTTTATTGAAATGCACACTACCCATAGTTGTGTCAATAGTTTTGATTGTCTCAGGCATTATTCTTTTAAGACATATTAGACAAAATTCAAAGGGTCAAGTTGAAAAGGACTTGTCAACTTTAGGAGTGCCAAGAAGGATTTCTTACTTTGAAATCCTAGATGCAACCAATGGATTTGATGAGTGTAACATACTTGGAAGGGGCAGTCATGGTCCTGTGTTCAAAGGAAAGCTTTCTAGTGGAATATTCGTTGCAATCAAAACCTTCAATTTTGATTCCCAAGTAATGTTAAGGAGCTTTGAAAAAGAATGTGACATAATGCATAATGTGCGCCATCGCAATTTGGTGAAGGTTATAAGTTGTTGTTCCAATGCTGATTTTAAATCTTTGGCAATGGAGTTTATGCCCAATGGGAACCTTGAAAAATGGTTATATTCTCACAATTATTTTTTAAGCTTTCTTCAAAGATTGAATGTAATGATAAATGTAGCAACTGCTTTAGAGTATTTCCATTATGGCTTGTTAACACCAATTGTTCACTGCGATTTGAAGCCAAGCAACATTTTATTGGATGATGAAATGGTTGCTTATGTAAGTGACTTTGGAATTTCCAAACTTTTAGATAAAGGCGAATCTAAGACATATACAGAGACAATACCTACTATTGGCTATATTGCACCAGGTAAATATTCTAAACATAGTGTGTCACTTTTCTTCTTCTTTTATTTTCTAACAATATAAATCTAACCATATTATATTCATAAAAGCTTATTGCATATATTGTTTACCCTTTTGAGATTATGTAATATTATATAAAATTAGTGCATGACAAATTAATTAACGTTTATGATAATACTACTGGATTTATAAAAGCACATAAATGTTCTTTTGATTCAATTATAAATATATAGTTTTAATTGATTAATTACAATTTGTCAAAGTTATTTAATTGATTAATTACAACTTATCAAAGTTTTCTATGCCTAAAAATTGCTCCCTTAATTCTTCTATATAGACAACTATTCTTGGATATTTCTTTCTAATTTTTTCATGAGATATACTCTTGTATTCAAATGGAAAATAGAAGAACTGTTTTTTAAATTTTACAATCCTTGAGCTTTGTTAATTTGATTTTTTTATATGTATATAAAATTCTTAAACTAATTAACATTAGAACATTAAGATGAATGTGTATTTTGAAATGTGCGTATGATGGATGTTCACACATGTATGCCTGTTTATGGGTACTGTTGCGTCTGAGTTTATTTGCTTCTGTTCAAAAATTCGGCTGCATATGATCATAAAATTTTCCTATTAATTTTTTTGTGTAAACAAAAATATACATTTCATAAACTCAAAGACTACCACTGGGTAGCACAACATAACTTATTTCTCATTTTTTCTATTATCCTAAGTACTCTAATTGACAGAATGAATAGTCTTATTTAGTTATTAGTTATATTTTATTGCTCAAATTCAATTATATGTAGAGTATGGATCTTCTGGAATTATTACAACAAAAATAGATGTGTATAGTTATGGAATTATGCTGTTGGAGGTGTTTACAAGAAAAAGGCCCACAGAAGATATATTTGTCTCAGGATTGAGCTTGAAGAGCTGGGTAAGTGAGTCAATGGCACATGCAATAATTCAAGTGATGGATTCCAATTTATTGCAAGGAGATGAACTTCACATAAATAATATATTGACATCTACATCCTCTATTCTTGAATTGGCCTTGAATTGTTGCACCGTTCTTCCAGAAGCACGTGGCAATATGATTGATGTTGTAGTATCATTGAACAAGATTAAGGCCATGTTTATGCATAGGCAGGAGCATCATGTTTAAATAAGCATTAACTTTCTTACAATTTGTGTTGCCTCCCTTTTTCCTATTACCTACTTTCAAAAGACAATGGACTCATTATTTATATATTATATATGGACATTTGTTTTCCTCCAAGTATAAAAGAGAAGATATTAGTTGTAATAGTTATTGTGCTACATGGTCTATTAAAAGATAAGATATTATACAGTGCGGCTAAAAATTTTTGGTACAGGAGCATTGAATTTATAAAAGTTAGTTCATCAAAAATTCATTTGACAAAAGTCAGTTATTATAATAAAATTTATATTTGAATACATTTTTCAAAAGTCAAGTTGGCAAACTAAAAGTTATTTAGATGAAATATAATGAAAAATGCTTTTAGGATGTTGATTTTTTTTATTTGTAATTTTTGTTATACAAATGCAATATATTAAAAATGTTTAAAAAGTATATATGACAAAAATAGTAAGGTAGTTTAACGGTTGTAATAATAAATAAGAGAGTAAAAACATTAATAAGTTTTACGTACATTGAAATTTTAAATATAAATATATTATAAAATAAATTTTTTCTTCTAAAAGAATATTTTAAAATATGGAGAATTTAATTTTAATTTGTTAAATAATAAGAATTAAAAATATAAAGTTTAATATTAAAAATAGTGAATATGCAAGTTAATTACGTTTAACCCCACCCCTTTCTTTTAGAGTCATAGATATCCATTTGCATTTTGCATGCTAGCTATTACTAGGTGCTGGGAAGTGTCCAAATAATAGGTCTCAAACAGATATCCACCGTTCCGTTGAAATCAAATTCAAAGCATTAGATGCTTCATGCCCCAAGCTATCAAAATTGTTTCACATGATCACTTTTGTCCTTGCCTTGCATTACACAAATGTACATCTTAAAAGTTCTTACGCCAAGTTTGGTATCCAGGAATTGTAGGTAATTAAAGAAATGGAATTGGAACTGAAATCTTGATCTATACATGTTTGTATGACATATTTAAGATTTCCAAGAATCCTGATTCCATCAAAAGTCCTTGAATCAGTTTCCATCCTCATCTTCATGGAATCACATTGTTGTTCACAGAAAATCCACTATTTTTCTCACTATTAACCTTGTGATCGCCTCGCTCTTGGACCTCCTCCCGCACATCAACATGAATGGTTCCACTCCTTCTCTTTCTCTCTCTACTGTGTTCAAGTCTAACTTTGTCAGTACAAGAGGCAAAGGTCCTTTTACTTTATTTGTTTCATCCTCTCTCTCTCTCTCTCTCTCTCATTGTTATGTGATTCAAAGCCAAAAAACCTGTTTTGAAAGGGACATTTTGTCTTTTTCTTATTTCAAATACATATATTTATTAAAATTATATCTAGATTCAATCTCCATATACCAAACACACTTTTATAACTCAATTTTTTTTATTCTAATTTCAATTCCAATTTCAATTATATCAGAAACTTTTCCATCATACTAAACACGGCTAAATTTTTTCATTGGCGAAATTCACTTTCAAGCCCATTGAATGTGCTTCCAAGAAAGACCTTTTGGGCAAAAAATTGTATCCAAACAACATCAAACTTCATGAAAGTGAAAAGTGGTTTTTTAAATGTCAAATGCTATGTTACCAAACAGGTTATAAGTATCTTGCATTTTCCTGTTACAGATGCTATAGTATAGATACTTTAAATTTAATTTACATGTTTAATTCTTCTTGTGGACCACAATATAAGGCATCTTTTAGAAGTCTTATTTGATCCAAAGTATAGAACATTGAATAATTTTTATAATTATTTTTCTAAATATACCCCTACTTTATTTATTATTCTTTTTGAAAAAAAAAATGATGCATTGGGATTTCAATTGTTAATATTAAAAAAACTTATATGGGATATTTAATGAAAGTATACTTGAAAGGATATAATTTTTTAAGAGATTAAAATTTTACCTAACTTTTTGAAAAAAAGCCTTGAAGCATTTACTAATGTGGTATATTGAGGTATAGATTACAAGAAAGATCAGATTAAGTAGAAAGCAAGGAGCATGGGAATCAATGCATAGAAGTGTGAACAAGAAGAAAGAGCAAGGTCAATTGGAAAGAAGCCCAACGTTATATATAGACCCCACCTTAATGCAAAACAGAGTTGAGAAGCAAAAATAGAGAGAATTTTTATTGATCACCATGTTGCTCTGCTCAACTCCGAAGGCACAACAATGGCGACGGCTTTTAAGTTGGTAATTAAATTTCACAGTTATAAAATTTCAGCTAGGGCACAACTAAATGAAGGATAAATTACATTGTAGGCTTCTTTTATTAGTTTTGAAAAAGGAAAAGAAAGAACTTTAAAGTAGAAGATCCGACGCTCATCAAGGCTGAAAATTAACTTGTTCTTGTTTCTCTTTTCCTTATTCTTCATGTTTCAAAAACACAAATAATTTCAAAATATATTTATTTGTAACACAGCCACAAAATAAATAAATTAGTTAATAAAGCAATATTTGCAATCATCATGATTCAATTGACAAAAAGAAGTAAACAAGCCATATAAGGGGAAACACACGTGTTTGTGGCTAGGTCAAACCTTGGCCACGCTAGAATCAAGATCAAGAAAGGGTGAGGATAGTTACTCTGTTATTTTAAGTATCAAACCCAAAGTCGCAGCTTATGTGAGAGATTTACAAATCCTGATTTCTATCACCCCATTTCTTTGTCTCACACCAGTTCATTTTGACAAGTCAAAACTCTATTTATCACTATTTTTAATGTTTGAAAAATAAAGATAAATTACTTTGGAAAATCTACTAAATATACTTAGAATTATTTGTAATAGCAGTTGAGAATTTACAAAAATCAATTGTGAATTGCAAGCCAATAACTTGTAATTTTTTGTCATCACTTGGAAAATCAACAAAAGATAATTGATAATCTTTGTAACATTAATTAGAATTTTACTAAGGTTCGTTGTGAATCTCAAGTCAATCAATAAAAGATATCATTATGAATTTCAAGCTAACCGATAAAAGATAATTTGTTATAAATAAAGATCATTATCTCTTATAAGAATTTTAATAATTTAGAGTCTCATTAATTTCCTTACAAGGTTCCTATTTATCATTTTCGTAAAAAGAAGAAGAGTGGGGTCACTGTACGGTAACTGGAGTGTGTGCTGGAACTTGAGAGAAGAAAAAGAGTGAGATGACTTGACAAAAGAAATTGGAGTCAGTGAGTGGAAGTGCTTTGAGGGAGGAAAAAGAATAAAAGAAATAAAGAATGATAGTGCGTGATGAGAGAAAAGGTCAGAAAGAGGAGAAATGTATATTATCATTTTACTTTATAATAAAAATTTCTTTCCATGTAAATCCCATCATTGTACAAGCTTGTACCAAATATTTGGCGGATCTCCCACACAGATTCCAACAATAAAAGTAATAACAAAAAATATAAACAAACAACAATAAAATTTAATAACAAAAATTAAGTGAATGAAAATAAAAAAGACAGTGTAATTTTAAGAAATTTAATATTATTAATTACAAATTTAACTATATCAACAAGCATGTCATTTTTCCAAAAAAAAAAAATCTTTACGGAACCTGCTGAAGACAAGACATTTATATTTTTTATATTTAATATGTCATGTGCATATGAAGGAAAAATAAAAAAAAAGTTATATTTTTGGTTATATGAAACTTGTTTAAATATTTGTTATCACTATCTTTAGAGTTTTTAGGCATCATGATCGTTACTCTGAATATATTATCCTTTCTTGTACTTTGTTTCCCTTCTATTTTGATCACTTCTGTATATACTTAATCAACGTCCTCCAATTTAGTTACATTGTCTTCATATCAAAACAAGAAGATTAGGAATTACAATTAGTCAGACCTGCACTCTCTTTTTAGTTGAGGTGCAAATAGGCTAGGTCGAGTTAGGTGTTGGTCAAATAAGCTTGAGCTTGACTTTAAGCCCGCATATGACTTTTTTTATGGCTCAGACCTGAGCCTACCTAAAGTTTGGCTTGACCTAAAAGCTTACTTAAAAGTAAGCCTTTAAATAGGCTCGCATTTTAATTTTAAACTTTTTAAATATATTTTTAGACTATTATAATATACAATGTATAACCTAATTTATCAATTACAATATATAATAATTGAAAGAACTTATCAATTGTAATACAATATAATAATAAAGTAACAACATTAAAAGTAAAATTAATATATAAGTCTAGTATGATTGAAAATATAACTATCAATAAAAAAGAATAAATTGATTAAAAATTAAATAGTGAAATTGATATGTTTATTATACATTAGATTATATATATATAGGCTAGCATGTTAAGCTCGTAGGCTAAGCTTTGAAAAAATAACCCTAACCTATTTAACTAAATAGGCTGAATTAAAAGCCTGAACCTAACTCGAGCCTATTTAAATAGGCTCAATTAGTCCTGAAGTAGGCCAAACTGTAGGCCTTATTAGGACCCTGGCCTATTCTCACCCCTACCTTTAAGTACCTCTTGGGTGTAGCCAATAATCTCTATATCTTTTTTTAAAAATGACAATAAAACCCCTCTGAAATATATAAATGACAATTTGTTCCCTCGAAATGCCATAATTCCCTGAAGTCCCTTAGAATTTTTCTGTTATTAATGAATTTATATAAATTATTAAATTGCCTTTGTTAAAAATAAATTATTTACAATTTTTCTTCTTATATTTGTAATTTTTTTCTTATATTCGTAACAATGTAACAGCAAATAAGGAATTTAACATGTAAAGTTGTGATTTGCTATTGTATTATTGCAAATTTAAGAAGAAAAGTTGCAAATATAAGAAGAAAAAATGTAAATCCTTTATTTTTAACAAGGACAATTTGATAATTTATATGAATTTGTTAATGACAGAAAAGCCCCTAGGAATTTTAGGGGAATTATGACATTTTAAAGGAACAAATTGTTATTTATATATTTCAAAGAAATTTTATTGTCATTTTCCCTTTTTTTATAACTTTTATATTA